TTCCAGGCTTCTTGTCATCCGTGGCAACCTCAACGCTGCTGCTTACCGCACCAGAACTTCTGCCTTTTATGGCAGCACATGGACCCGGTTTAATCTTCCAACACGACAGTGCCAGACCCCACACAGCAATTTTGACAAGGAATTTCCTTCAGAATGCGGGAGTGAACGTCATGGACTGGCCGTCAAGGTCTCCCGACCTCAATCCCATCGAACACGTCTGGGATGCTCTTGGCAGAAGTCTGCGCACTCTCCAGAACCAACCACAGAATTTGCAAGATCTTGGCACCATTTTGCAGCAACAATGGCGTCGTCTTCCCAATCATGTGTTCACAAGCATCACAAGGTCTATTCGGAGGCGTTGTGTGGCAGTTGTCAACGCACATGGTGGCCATACACACTACTGAACTTGTGTGCCATCAGATTCTCGTGCTTGGGACTTATGATTTAAACTGTTGATGTTATTACCGAATACCGTAGGTGCTTGGAACATATTATGGTTACCACCGTTAATTAAAATCCTTCTTTGGACATTAATGATTGAAAATTCTGATATATTTGTCCGTTGTATATCATATATAGGATTACTTTTAAAAAATGTGAAGTTTTTAATTTGACTCAGCATATCTTAATCATTCAACTAAATGTATATTACATACACTCTTCAAAAAAAGAAACGCACAAGTAGCTATTTAGTAAATGTATTGCACCTAACAAAGTCGATATATTTAATTTAATATCATAGACACAAATATGAAATTTTTGAGCTCGATAGTCACATGTTGTCGTTGTACAAAGGCATTGAAGACTGTTCATTGTCATGTAACATAAGACCACAAGGTTGCGCTGAACTCAGTATCTCGTGTGACCGCCTCAGGCAGCAATCACGGCTCTGCATCTCCTTGGCACTGACTGGATAAGTGTACGAATTCTGTCCTGTCGATCGAGTTCATCATAGAGGTGTTCGATTGGGTTGAGATCTGGAGATCTCGACAGCCACGACAAGTAGTTGATGTTTGCATTATGAAGGTAGTCAACCGTGACACGAGCTGTGTGCGGTGGAGCGTTGTCAGGTTCAACTTGACATCCCTTCCACTTTTCATATCCCCTCGATCAGTGGATGTCATCATAACAATACAACATGTCATTTAGACAAATTAATCCATATGCAACTAATAATCATGCTAAATTCAATCAGGATGAGATGTTCAGCAATGTTGAACGAAAAAGTATTTCAAATAAATCAATTACTACCCATCTCATCATTTCCACAAGTTATTGTTTGGCACTGCAACAACTAATGATGTCAACATATTAGCAAAAAACAAGTCAACGCAGGAACAAAACATGCATATCTTAGGGCATTGCACTAACAGAGCATGAGCATGAGCACATCAATTATGGCAAATGAAGATACTCGATTTTCAAATGCATAAAATACAACAATGAAGCAATCAGATACGCTACAGCAAGCTTAATTATAAAGCTTCATATAATAATCTTCAAAATGCTAATGTCTTTATCGTCAGTTTTGCTTCATCAGATTGAACAAACTACACTTATTGAGCACAGATACCAGGAATTTAAACTGAGAACTTTAGACCTAGTAAAAGGCAATAGTTCACCACTTTTTATCTCTCCTGCCATCCTTAGCAAAACGATCAGTCATGTTCAGCATCTTCTTAAAAGTAAATACAATGGTTTAAAATTGTTACATTCTGACGTACAATTCTATTACAACAATGCTAAATTTATATATGCCAGGACTAAATCAAGCAAACTATATGAACTTGCCTTCAAATTGTACAAAATCATTTCAAAGCCAGTTCCTGTAAATGAGTCTACTAACCACTCCACACAACTACTAAATCCCCCACCCTTTTTAGCAACATCGCTTAACCAGCAATACTCTACAACTGTCAGTATGGACCAACTTTCTCAATGCTTTGGCACTTCTACGTTACACTGTCCATTTAGACGTACATTGGCAACCAGAACACACACTTCGTATGAAATAGCATCATATTGCAACAATAAAGCAGAAATTAAAGCACAGTGTACTTTTTGGTTCCTTATGCAAAAACAAAAGTAACAACTAATTGAAATCACCACTTCAAAATTACTTGTGTATAATTCTCCATTACTAACCCTCACTTGCCCTGATGGACAAAGAATCATCACTGACCTCATCTTTCCTGCTCATCTGGGAACATGTCAAACCCTTACCCACCAGGATATCACCTACCTACATCCTGTAAACTTAGCTTTATAACAGCATTTTTTTTAAGACTCTACTTTAGATACGGTTGCTGATAATACCCTTTATAATGAACCAGTTAATGTCAAGATCCCTGATTTTCATTTTTATACACACCAGGTTGCTAAAGTTATTGCTAATGACCACAAGGATCACCTTAGTCTTAAACGTATGGCCACAAGTGTTTAAAAGAATGAGGTTATCTTTCAGAGTCTAACAGACTCTCTTTCGGATGGTAAAATTATTTTAATCTCCCTGGTTTGATCTTAGCTCCATCAGTCCTTTAGGTGCGGCAGTTCTATTAGTCCTAGCCATAGCTGCAATTATTTGGATGTTCTTTAAGATAAGAGCGTTAACTGCCACTATCATCATCCTTCAAGCTACTGTTTCAGTTAAAACTACTCCAATCCCCTCAATCGAATATCATGAACCAACTCCCCCAGCACCCAGTTATGTCTATACTATTCTTAATACTAGGTATGACCACATTCCAGTGATAGTTATTTCCATATCATTCGTACTGCTTTTGGTTATCCTATATAAAGTATTCACTAAGAAATCAAACCATACTCTCATCTTGTTAGAACTTACTACTGGTTCTTTATGCGAACTAGTGCCAATAATGTCTCGATCATTGTGTTCATCATATTGGGACATTCACCCACCTTCCATTGTCAAAAAATTGTACATATCAAGCTACCTTAGACCTACTCTCAACGTAACCTGGCCAAAATTCTAACAAGCTTACCCAGCAATCATTAAAGATTCCGCTTTCAGTTAGAATCTCACCATTTATGGCAAGATGTATAAACGTCATACTCTCTCAACCTTTTGCCACAAACATCTTCATCTCTCATCATGGTTTGTATGAGGTCCTTCCTATGGAGGAATCCCTTCATCATTAGTATGATTCAATATGTTCCTTGTATTTGTAATATTTACATGTGACAACCTCATCAAGATGGTTCAAGAACAATATTCTCATAGATCATTATTTTATTTCTTTTGAAGACAAAAGCTTCTCGAAACAGAGGTGTATTGTCAGAGTACGCAAACTTGCTAAAAAATTCATATAAAAATATAAAAATTATATTCAAAATTTATAAAATTAACTCACGTATCTTTGCAGTCAAACCTCGGACATCTCACATAAATGGCAGTAACTCACTTAGGTTGTAAAAACATGCCGCAAGACATAATTTAGACAATAGATGCCTGTTCGCATTGCAGTCACTAGCTGCATGTCAATTCCAGATTGACACGCTGACAAATAACGGTAATCCCCTTGACAAGTCGGCGGTCAGTCTAAAATGCTGCCGGCTCAACTATTATATTTATTTTTACCGGACAATATTTATGCGAAATGAAATCAGTTCTACATAAAATGCTTCTGATATCTGGAAATTAGGCTTCCGGATCCAGACAGTGAATTTCATTTATGAACCGTGCAAAAAACACACTATTGTACACACATATTACTTACTGGACAGCAACGATGCTTGGGTTGCATGTCAAGCCCGACGGTCAACATCTAAAGGGACAGGTGTCATGCGATCACTGTGTCAATTGGTAACATGAATAATAATAATAATTATTATTATTTGTGTGATGATCCTCTTGTGAAGCATGTCAAGACTCATTATGAAAACAAGCATTCTTAAGCGAGCCAAGGATGTGGAACAAATGTCTATGTAAAGGTTCAATTTATTGATAGTTCTGTTCTGCTGGACGGTACAAAATGAGTGTCAAAGCGAAGTGCAATATCAAATCGGCCCAGACTTTGACAGGCTATCTGAACGACCACTGTATTTATGTGCAGTGTGTTAAGAAGAGCAGGAACCCTGATTATTGAATTTTCTGTCCCTTTTGACACAAATGTGATTGACAAGATTCTGGGAAAATCTTGCAAATATGCAGACTTCACTTTCAAAATGTCACGCTTTCATCCCAAGTAACAAGTTGTCCGACTAACCATTGTTGCCTTAGGTTTGGTACCTCCCAATCTGTTGACTGACATTAGGAGAGAACCCGGGTTTGCTACCAGGAATAAGCCCTTCTGACAATCGGGGTAATGCAGAAGGCTGCAGTGTTGGGGAGTCTTCCCATACTCCGAAAAGTTCTGCGTGGGTTTGACTAGGCACCACTTCCTGGGAGATAGCCCATTTGCTGTCTGGGCTGCGTGTAGAGGGGGCAAGGGCCCTGAGATAATGATGAGCCTAATCAGCCTGACTGTGCCAGGATCACCCAAACCCTCTTTGCTGCATTTTATATGTACATAATAAACTGGATAGGGTATATGGATAGGATAAATAACTGGAAGGGTATCGGGGTAGCCCAGTTAAAGCGTTCGTTCGTCATGCTGAAAGCCCGAATTGGATACCTCACATGGGTACAATGTGTGAAGTCCATTTCGGGGGTTCCCCGCCTTGATATTGCTGGAATATTGCTAAAAGCTGCTTAACACAATACTCACTCACTATAACTGGAATCTTGTTCAAAGCGGTGTTGAACACAAATCACGCAGCCCTAACTTAGAACCAAATATTGGATTTACATATTTACACATCTTGTTCGGGAAGTTAAAGAGTTAAAGAGTATGACATTTCAAACATACATTGTGTGTAGACCAGCGTGAGCAGCTTTTTTAACAACGTCGGTCCTGAAGCAAACAAAAGTAATATATGCATATAACATATATGCGGCAAGCAGAGCGTTAAAGTATACAACTTGCATGTCTCACGGCCTTGTCAAACAGGTTTGGACGAGCGTCCGGCGATGTGTTGCTTGTGCCTTACATTGTGACACCAGGAACATTTTCATTCGACTTACAAGTTTCTGTAAGGTAAATATACATCTTCAGTATTGTGTCAGGCCTTGAGTATAATCAGTATGAAGAACAAGTCGTATTACATGAGAATAATGTCATTTGCAACGTCTTTCTGACACAGATTTTAGAGGTCAGATTCATTTAAATGAATATGTTTCACAGCACCTTCAACCTGTCCCAAATCCATGTCAAACGGCTTTTGTTTGGGTAGCAGTCATTTTCAGTTTCACTGGTACAATAAAAGACAAAGTGAGTGATACTCGATTGTTTGGCTATTGAATGGTAAAAAATAACAGTTCTGTGTTTGCGATTGAAATATTTGGAGGACGAATAATCAGTCGGCCTCGTTGTGCATTAGAAATGATGTTTTATAGCCGGGTGGGTGCTTGTGGTATCTGAAGGGTCGTATCCCTTACAGTAAATAGACGAAAACTGACACGACTCGTATGAGATGATCACAGAGCATGAAGTTAAGTAATAATATAAAAAGCACTCGAAACTCGGGTCCCAAGGCTCGAGACTGTAAATGCTAATTGTACACGGTACATATGATGTTTTTGCATCTCTCGCCAGGTCTGCTTTACTACAACCCTACACACTCAAATACAAATACTTTCACACTCTCACACGCAGATAAACGCACTGACACACGCACATACTCACATAAATACTCACACACTCACACATACTCAGATACACATACTCAAACACACACACATACTTGCACACTCAGATAAACATACCCACACATTCACATAAATAAAAAAATCTGATGGATTTCATTGTACGAAACTAAGAGTTCGCGAGAAGGTGACAGTATTCTGCAACCGTCACAAACACATGCAAAAGCAAGTCAATTAGTCACTGGAAAAATCTTCCACGGAAACACATGGTGAAAATGAGAAATTGCACCAAACATAATTTTTGTACTGATGACTAACGTCTACCGCAAAACCTTTTGAAGACAAGAGTCATATAAAGAGTAAGAGTTGGATTTTGAAATAAGGACCAATGTACTTCAAAAGTTGTGACATGTTATTTACTGTTGGAAATTTGAAGTCATCCCTCTTGTCATCCGAGACAATTTCAACCAAGGTTAAATTACAGACGGTATTACTAAATGTAACAACATTAACCCTACTGCATTATACTCCAGCAACTCTCACTGGGACTATTGATCCAGATTCATGTAGAGACCTATGTCGTGTTTAAAACCTCGCCGTCAACATACATCATACAGGTACGTACATGATCTACATACATATAATATCAACACACGTCAAGCATGTCTGTTGAGCGTCTCACATGCAGTGTAGATTTGCACACAAGCTGGAGCAATTGGTAGATGTATATCCGTCTGGCGCCGCTTCACGATTAGGTAAGAATGTAGTTAACTGGAATATTATGAGCACCTGTTGTACACAATGTATAGGACCCGTGAAGACTCCGGGGTAGAATAGGTCTTCAGCAACCCACGCTTGCCGTCAAAGGTAACTATGCTTGTCGTAAAAGGCGACTAACGGGATCGGGTGGTCAGGCTTGCTGACTTGGTTGAAACATGTCATCGATCCCAATTGCGTGGATTCGATGCTCATGATTTTAATCACTGGATTGTCTGGTCCAGACCCGATTATTTACAGACCGTCGTCATATAGCTGGAATATTGCTGAGTGCGGCGTTAAACAACAAACCAACCAACCGACACAATGTATAGTACACGGGACCACAAGCTGGATGTGAGATGCTTGTTACAGTTACACCCATTCTCAAAGACGTCCTTAGGACATGTAACAGATGGAGCATGAGTGATAGTAGTTTTTGGGGATTAAAAGATACATTTGTGAGAACAAAGCGCGAGGCGCAACAGCTGTGCCTGTGTATTCCTGTGAAGTACTGTCATGAAGCCTCTATCTGTCTTGAGCACAGACAAGACCTCGAGACCCAACTCCACCGAGGCGAAAGTGTAAAACTCCAAGCAAAACTTAGAGTACATTATTATTGCACTACACGTGACCCAGATGACCCATCTATTGGTCCTAGGTATTAAGTAGTCCGTCTCAGTCTCGGAACCATTTAATTTCCCCTTCCGTTCAGCCTTTACTATAATGTTATGAAGCTAAATGAAGCATGTAGGGTTTTCTACGTGTCCTGAATCTCCAAAGGCGCTGGGGTTCCTTTTCCCTTTAAATGTAGTTGCTTATTGCTATCCAAATACTATATTTGCAGAGACTAACCATTATTCTAGGCATTCAGTCGTGATCTTACTTCATATATTAGCATTAAACTTAAACAATCAACTTATCCTTTTTTGGTACTATAATAGTCCAGTCATTCTACGGTTTGACCTCCAACTAATTGCAACAGAAACAATTTCTGATGAAATTCAATCAGAATATATGTACGTTTAACATTCGAAAAGTCTAGAAATATCCATTGAGGGGAACATAGAGAAATTTGCGATGAAAATGTACTATATAAGCTTGAAAACGTGTGGCGCGAATGGGCCGCCGTATATGAAAAGGGAGATAAATACTTACGATGTGAAGCCGACAAAGTTTCTTTACCTTGTGAATCGGACCTAATTACTTGTAAATAATGCTGTTTTCAATATAGTGAGTGATTTCAAATATCCTTTCAAAGCAATTAAAAACTAAACATTACATGAAACAAACACGTGTGTGTGTGTGTGTGTGAATGTCTTAGTATGTCTGATCGCCATATCCATGCCATGTGTTCGTCAGCTGGCGATATGAGTCATACGGCAGCTTCGTTCTGCACACAAGTTTTTGCCGGACAATATATATGTGAAATGAAATAAATACTACATAAACTGCTACTTTTATCCGGAAACTCACTTTACGGATCCGGATAGTTAATTTCAATTTCCAACCGTGCAAAATACACACTAAATTGTGTCCCACTGTCCAACATATTGGACAGCAACCACGCTTGGTTCGTAATTGAATCCCGACAGCCAACATCTTAAGTGACAGGTGTGTTTATTAGTTACTTGAATAATAATAATAATAATAATAATAATAATGATAATAATAATAATAATAATACCCACCATTGATTCCAGTGAAAGGTTTTGGAAACAGTTGTTGTCTATACCCAGCAACTGTAACCTCGAGGAACCATGGGTAGAGGATTGCAATAAAAGTGTGCATGAAAAAGTAAGGTCACCATTGGTGTATTTCCTAACACCTGAAAAATGTCATTAAAACGTCCAAATCTAATACGGCGTCAGGGCCTGATAATATTAGAAACCGGTATTCGAAACTGTTCCCTTGTGTCCAAAACGCCATTACTTCACTGTTGTAATTCTCTTGTGTATGCAGGGGATGTTCCGCCTTGGTTCTGCAAAGGTCGAACAATACTTCTTCCAAAGAAAGGTGTTCTGACTGACTCTAAAAAATTCCGCCCTATTACTTGTTTGAACACACAGTACAAACTATTTACAGGGTGTCTCACAGAGCTCGTGTCATCGTACTGTGCTTCGAATGACATTATCTATATGGAGCAGAAAGGAGCCAGAAAGGGATGTTGGGGTTGTAAAGATCATTTGCTGGTTCAGAAAATGATCCTTGAAGAGACTTAAACTTACCACCGTAACCTTTTAATGTGTTGGATAGACCTCAGAAAAGCTTATAACCTCACGAATGGATTTTGAAGTCACTTGAATGTATTGACCTCCTCGAGTGACTGCTTGTTTTACTCAAGTCTGTAATGAATTGCTGGTCAACTCAACTTGAGATGTATTCGCAGGGGCAGGTGGTGACTTCGGAACCCATTTCTAATAGAAAAAGAATATTTTAGAGCGATTTGCTTTTCTGGAATACAGCAATTCTAACAATCTGGGTAATGCAGAGGGCTGCAGTGTTGGGGAGCCTTCACATTCTCCCAAAGTTCTGGGTGGGTTTGACTAGGCAGCGCTTCCTGCGAGAAGTCCCATTCACTTTCTGGGCTGCGTGTAGAAGGGGCAAGGGCCCTGAGCTGATAATGAGCCTAACCAGCCTGACTGTGCCAGAATCACCCAAACCCTCTTTGCTGCATGTTTTATTTTAATCTGTAAATAATAATAATAATAATGATTATAATAATGATAAAAATAATAATGATGATAATAATAGCAAACAAACCTGATCCTGAGGCTGACCAACATATCGTCAGTGGATGCCCAGCTTTAGCACAAACACATTATCTTAAGTGACATGATGGAGTGGCTCGATCGTTATATTATCGTCTTTACAATTCTTGTGGTCTTGACACAGAGGAACATCCATGGTACGACCCAAAATATGTAGAAGGCGTCATGGAAGATGACAAATACAAAATTCTTTGGAATAAGCCGGTGTACAACCTCAGACCTATCCAGGCCAACAAACCTGATCTTGTCCTTTTTTGATAAATCCAATGAAATCATTTATATGATTGAAATTTCTGTCCCTTTTAACACACATGTGATTGACAAGATTCTGAGAAAACATGGCAAATATGCATACCTTGCTTTCGAAATGTCACGCCAAATGTACCTCCAAATCTGTTGACTGACACTGGGTGTGTATCTGGGTTAGGTACAAGGAATACAGCCCTTCTGAATCTCGGTAATGCAGAAGGCTGCAGTGCTGGGGTCTCTTCACATTCTCCAAAAAGTTCTGGGTGGGTTTGACTAGGCAGCGCTTCCTGGGAGAAGTCCCATTTGCTGTCTGGGCTCCGTGTAGAGGGCCCTCAGCTGATGATGAGCTTAACCAGCCTGACTGTGCCAAGATCACCCAAACCCTTTTTGCTGCATTTTTATTTTAAGCTGTAAACAAAAATAATGATAAGGTGATTTGATTGACCCTCAAAACTTCTGCCCTATTACTTGTCTGAATACACAGTACAAAATATTCACAGGGTGTCTTACAGATCTTTTGTCATCATACTGTGCTTCCAATAACATTATTTACATGGAGCAGAAAGAAGCCGATAGGGATGTTGGGTTTGAAAGGATCAACTGCTGGTTCAGAAAA